TGGCTTATCGTATTTGGACTTTCTTCACTGGTTAACGAATTTCTGTCAAACTTGCCTATGATGGAATTTAGCCCATTTTTAGGGGCAGAATGCTTTTCTTTAATAATCAACTTGCCTACCTCTCTTGGCTTCTTTCGTAAGGGCTCACGATGGTTGTTCATGAACCTTGACTGCAGAAGTTGAAATTTTGTAGGGCGAATACCATTGTTCGTGCTTTGACATTTAGGCTTTGAGCTCATATTTTTTTCTATGCTTTCTAGCCACTTGACTTTTTTGTTTTCAGCTGGAAGCCTGTTAGATACGAGGTCTGTGAGGTAAATCAAAAGGCTGCTGAGAACAGCAAAAGCACCTAATTTGTTTGACATCTTACTGAGTTTCTTCTTCAGTGCCATGGGATCAATCTGCACCATATCGCTGCTCACCTTCATAACTTTGCTTTTGCTGCACAGAAGAAAATCAATGTTTTGGAAAGAGGAACCATAAATATGCATTATACATTACATTGTATACTAAAATTGCTCTTAAAGCTGCAAACATTGTACATCTAATGTACACATTTATATAAAATACATAACCTTAGACAAGACAATCATCAACCTGTTATTATGGGTACCTATCTATGACTGGCCATTGTCAACTATTGTATTATCTGATATAAGCAGTAATATTTTTTTCATTAACTTTGAAAAAGATTGCATACCTTCAGCCAACAGCTAAATAAAGGATACCCAAAATATATTACTGGATGTTGTACATTTTTAAGGAACTAAAAATACAATGCTGACAAGTTTGCTCAATTTTTATAAAAATCTATTTCCACAGTGTTCCATATCCTACAAAGTATAAAATATAGGAGGCTACAGTTTTGATAAATTTAGGTCCAAAGCCTACTTAGTTAAATTAAAACACAATTTCCAATTTTGTGGAAAATGTACTCTTAAAATCTCTTTTCTGAAGGCATTACCTCCACTTGGAAACAATTTCTGGACTTCGTGCTTGAGGTTAAAAAAAAATGAAACTTTTGTGATTAGATAGGTTTGTTATTATAGAAACAGCTAGTGTATAGTATCATGCACAAGTAAAAAGTTGAGGCTATTACCTTATTCTATTATGCTAAAAAGAGTTGGAAATCAATGTTTTTTTAATTTCCTTTTTACCCTACACGTTTTCCTCTATCCTTTTTCCTTCCCTACCTTCCCATTATTTTCATTTTTCTTTGTATTTTATATTTTGATAAACTAATAAAAATGTAAAAGTATCACCCCTATAAAATTACAGTGGCAAAGATAAAAGCTTTATGTATGCAAAGATATTCAGGATAATATTAACTGGCTTCTGTATCATTTCAGTCATTAACATGGTTGTAAGAATACTTTTGTTGGAAGAGTTTTGAAGAACTCAATGTGAAAGCCACAGAATGAACCAATGGCAATAGACTATTGCTTGGAAGTGGGTGATGGGAACCCCAGTGGTTTCAGCTTTCTAGCACCATAAAAATCTTAGGTAGTTAATTCGACAAATAATAAAATAGTACGTGAATGAGATTCATCTTACAGATCAAAATAGGATTACGTTTTTATACCTCTTCATATATAAGCAGAAGCAGGACAACAATTGTTTTCAGATGAAATCCTGATGAGGTCAAGGGCAAAGGAAATTATTAATTCTAATAACATAGGATTTCATCCTTAATACCACATAACAAGAAAGTGGCCAGCCCATGTAACACATGTCTGATTCCAAGAAGCAACATGAACTGATGCTCATAATTAATTCTGTCATCCAGATCATTGTAAAGCCAGGTAACTATTTATTCTTGCTCAATAATAACATAATGACAAAAATACTACTAGCATTTATGTCCTGCAAACAGAAGGACCAGGGCCAGATTTGGAGGAGGAAGGCACAACTGTTTTAACATTTGTTGTAATCGCAGTTTCTCATAATCTGAAATTTAGGTGGTTCCTAAAAAATTCATAACCTTGTGCTGAATAAATATTCTTCCTCTTTCTGAAAATTAAAATGACAGAATCCAGTATGCAGTGTTTCACTTATGGATAATGCTGCACATAGAACATTAGACTGAAACAGTATTATCATCACAGGCTCCCTTTATATAAACCTTTACCATATTCAACAAAGACCACATGGAAAAAAAGAAAAAAAAACCTTTGTCCGTTGACCATCTCTGAATGAAATAAGCAATTCAAAGCCAGTATTTGGTCAAATCATATTTTCCTGAAGGGCAAGTTTCCCTCTTACTCATCATCCCCCCACACACATACACAACATTACACCTGTGACAACCCTTTTATTAAAAGCAAGTTCTGCTGGGTCCTCTCCATGATAAATACATGACAGAGGAAAGTGTTGCTGTGAGGATTGTGGCACACATTTACTGAGCTTGATCTCAGCATCAGAACCCTGCCTGTCACTGGGTTCTCTTTCCATTATGAAAATATGAGCTCAAGATGATTAAACATTTCAGATGCTTTTAAACTTTGCTTTTAACAAATGGGAATTTGTCATGACCAAAACATTTCAGTTGCAACTAGGACTGTGATGCCTTTACAATACATAGATATCCCACCTTGACTATTCCACTAGTTAACAAACAAAAAGTTTTGTAGCTGATGCTGGTTTTGCAACTGTACTTATTCAGACAATCTAAATATTCAGAGCCAAAGCCATACAGTTCACTTCTACATTATCTCTGTAATGTGGGAAAGCATTCTGCGGTATTATGGGTAAAGCAAAAACTCTGCATTAATGTTAATTGTGTTGCTAATGCTTAGGGGCATAAAAAGCAGTTTAATTTTATGAGCTTGTTATGCAAGATAATTGCATTTTTATTATTTATTAATATTATATATTACCTTAGACAGTTGTGTTTTGCCAGGTGATCTATATCAATCAGGAAATAAATAATAATTATTATTTCAGCTCCCAGGAAATATTATGAACTTATGCAAGAAATTTTGGTAATAGTTCTTCCTCTGCAGCAACCCCTAGGAACCCATGACCAGGTTAAGCAGGCAGCATGGTGGCTTGTTCCTACAACATATTGATCTGCGTGTTAAAGTATGGGATTCTTCCAAAACATAGGAAATGCAGTATATAATAACCAACTATGCATCATGATGGTAGAAAGCAATATATGATGCAATTCATAGAACCACTATAATTTATTTTTTTAATGTACAAATACAGTAATAGAGTGACATATACAATCCTTCACTCTAACTCAGTGGTGGTGAACCTATGGCACGGATGCCAGAGGCGGCACTCAGAGCCCTCTCTGTGGGCACGCACGCCGTCGACCCAGCCCCGCCACCCCCCATGGCCCCCTCCTCACCAGCAGCCCCCCAGGAGGAGAGTCGCCCTGGGCGCAGCCTGTGCAGAGCAGCGCAGCCAAGGACATGGCAGCTGGGCAGCGGGGACAAGACTCTGCCCTCGCGCCCCATCGTGTACAGATGATGCTGCGGGGCGTGGCCGCCATGACACTGCTGAGACGCCTGGGCAATCTGCTGTGGTGGGCCGTGGAGGTGGTGGATGGCCCTGCGGGCAGGAGACGCAGTGACGGGGTAGGGGCGAGGCGGTTTTTGGATACTCGGTCTCTAAAAGGTTCGCCATCACTGCTCTAACTCCTTTAATAAAGAAGCAAGATACTTCTAACAGGAACTTTAGAAGGATGTAGGACAAGGATAGGCAATCTCCTCCCTTCCAGATATTGTATATTTCACTGTTTCTCAACCTTGGCCACTGTAAGCTGTGTGTACTTCAACTCCCAGAATTCCCCAGCCAGCAAGCTGGTCAAGATTGAGAAACACTGGACTATATTTCAATACCCTTCAGTCAACCAGCATCATCAGTAGGAAAGGGGTTGTGAGAACTAAAATTCAAAATACTTCGTACATACACATTTCCCTAATTCAGAGATTGATTCACAAATACTTTCACCTTCCTCTTACAGTGGAGGTGTTAAAGAATCAGGAAATGTAGCATATCTAAGCTAAAACTCAAGTTTTTGTTACCATTAATGACAGCAAATTAGAATAATCTTTTATTTAGCCAGTAATAAATTAGCACCTGGTCAAAACATAAGTGCATAGTTTTATTTCAATGACTATTTCCTTCATATGAGCAGTTTTCAACCACTAAGAATAGCCTGTACATATTATATGTTTGGATATGCATTCTTTGAAAAGTACAGGAAAGTATACTATAGGGCAGTGCATTAGTTATTTTAGTTAGTCAGTAAAGGACTATGTAAACCAGTCCTAAATTAATGGATGGAAGACCACCAGTATCTATGGAATGGGAGGAGTCCAAATTTGCATGATGGGAATGAGATCGTGATTAAAATCCCACCCTTTTCTGCATGTGACATTGATGCATATACAAAAGCAGCTGGGCTTCAATCATGCAGATTTTGACACAGATGCCAAGAGAAAACCCAGGCCTTATTGGTATCTCTACCTAACTCTTTTGTCTCCTAGACTTTATCAATCTTTCACCATAGCATGAACAGGAAGAAAGATGTTTAAAGGGAAAGAAAAATAAGGGTGAATAGAATTGGAAAAAGATGGGAAAAAAGTCCAGTCCATTGATTCAGAATTGTTGGAGTAGAATTGATCATTCTTCCTATAGTCACAGTCATACTTAAGTCCTATGGAAATGAGTGAAAATTAAGTAAGCTTTTATTATTAATTTTACTGAGACCCAGGTGTTCTGCTATTGTAATCCTGCATGTATCTACTTGGATATAAATCATGGCAATTTCAATTTATTCCCAGGTAAATATGCATGGGCCTGAATCCTGACCGAATATGTAAGTGGAAGGAATCAAAACTGAAGAAATGTCTGCCTACAAATAAATCACTTTAACCTTGACCTCTAGTGACAACTGCAAGCAAAAATTCCAGTGACAACATACAGGAACATGCAATAAGCACAGTGCGAAAATAAAGAACAATGCTTATGAAGAGGCATAACATTTATTTATTTACAAGAATTTTAGCTACCCAAAGAATTACAAATTTTGTCTTTTTAAAAAATAGCATTGAAAAATCTGAAAGGCTAAACTAGGAACCATTGTACTTTTGTGGATTTTTTTTACATTTATTTGAATGATTTGGATAACTATTTTCTGCCTTTTCTTGGATCGCTTCCTGGTGTTAGCTCTCCCTCTAGCTCTCCCTCTTTAAAAGAATGGTACTGCAAGTCTGACACAGAAGTCACATTAAAAGGAAGTGACAGGAGTGCGGATTAAGAATTTCAGGGAAAACGAGTGCATGAAAAAGTAACAATGCTCTTTTAGAGGGGTGATGAAAGCAATCTCTGGGGTGTAGATAGCATGATATTTTTATATGCATAAGTGAAAATGAGCATACAGATGACAGGGTGACATTAATTAACAAAGTGAGGCAGAAATTCATGTCATATAATTTTTTTTAGAAGAGTTATTATTTAAAATGGATGCCAAGATTCTACCTTTGAAGAAACATAGATAATTTTTAAAGGTATTCTAAAACGCTGACTGCCAACAGTGCTTAAATGCTTCAGGGCAACGATCCTAATGTCCCGGGGGAAGATGAGCACATTGTTATTACTGAATAGTATAATCTTAAACAAAAGGGGGCCTCTGGTCTTTTCTTTTTTGCCTCCTGCAAATTTGTTTTCAAAAGTGGTTACCAGTTTATTATAAAATAAAAAATTAAAAGTATCTTTACTTTTCCTCTGAAGATCGTTGGAAAATACTTTCCCCCATGTTTTCGAGCCTCTCCCTTTGCTCAAGTTCCCGGTATAAGCCTTTAGGAACCTTGTTGAGGCCATAGAGGAGACCATATAAGCAGCCAGCGATTGATCCCGTAGCTGCACTCTCGCCTAAAAATCAAAAGCACAAATGGTTAGCTCCATTCAGGGACTTTAACCATGAGTGAAAGATTAGACAATTATCAAACAATGATCAAGATTGTATTTCTGACAGGTTTCTGGGCCTCTTTGTGAACTGAATCTCTAAAATTTCCCCAGCACCTGGCGGCGGCCTGGGATGTGGCCGCAGCCGCAGCACTGGACCGAGTCGTGCCGTTGCGGCCTCTGACCCGACGCAGATCTCAACTAGCTCCTTGGTTTACCGAGGAGCTGAGAGAGATGAAACGCCGGAAAAGACGCCTAGAGAGCAGTTGGAGGGCTACCCGAACCGAATCCGACCGAACACAGGTAAGGATACATG